TGAACAATATGAACATGTAAGAAATAATATTTTGATTATTTATTATCAATTATTTAATAAACACAAAATATTTTTATTATTTAATAGGTCCAAGTAGCAACTTTTTTTCAATACTCATCAGAATTATCTCAAACTTATATGTTTATATCAAATGATTGCCTTTATTTTATGCAATTAAATAATTTCATCAGAAATAATATTAAAACAATATCAGTAGGAGATGTAAATATACATCAAATAATTCTCTAATAACTATTAAAAAATTATATATGTGGATATAATTATTTATTCTATTTATTATTAGACACCCAATAGATTATATTTTGATGATTATTACAAAGTATTTATTGTAATTTGTACAAATAGTTTTGAAGAAATTCCAAATTCTGTCTTAAAAATTGTTGATCCGCTAAAGTAAGTGATTTTCTAAATAGATGAGTTCTTAAATAAATCATTTATAATGTACGATTATTAATCTCTGTATCCAATATATACATTAGTGGTAAAATTATCTATGAATATTCTTTATTTGATCAAGATAATCCTAATAAATGTCAAACAGTGTATTCAATTACAGGTAATTAATTAAATTGATTGATTGATTGACTGATTCATAAAAATGATCATAATGAATGATCTTGATAGATATTAAGATTGATATTATTATAATTTAGGTTGGCAATCTACGACTGGTAGACAAGAATTTCGATGGATTTGTGTTGGAACAGGAATACATGATGATGATGATGATGATAACCAATCAAATTATAATAAAAATCAAGACACCGGAAGACTTATTTTATTTCAAATTAGAAAAATATTGTTAAATAATAAAGAAGTATAATTTATTATTTAATTAATAATTTATTGTTCTTTTATTTAATTATTCTTTTATTTAATTTATTATTTATTATTTATTAGGAATCAAATGGTATAAAGTATGAATTAAAGAAAATAAATCAAACTAATGTTAATGGAATTGTATGTTCTATGTGCCCTTTAAATGACAGGTGATGATTATTTTACTCGAAATTAATCCATCAATTGAATTTTAAACCAATTAATTAAAAACCAAATGTTATTGTTATTATTAGATACTTGCTTATTGGGTCTGGAAATACGCTTAATCTGCTAAAATTTTATTATGAAGAAAAAA